TTACTGCCGAAATATTACCTTAAGGAACCACAGGGAGGATAATGAACACGTTTACCTGAGTTAAACTATATTTATTTACCTTTGGCTCAGATTAATTAAGATAATCTGGGTAATCAGGAGATAATCTACACGAAATAAACTAATCTAGTGTTTAATAAGCAAAATTATCACCAAAGTATATCAGAATTATAATGGATAATTGCAATTACTTTCTCATATCTCGACTTGATAACATTGGAGAGAAAAACTATGTACACAGTATTTACACCTGGACTCACCTGCGTCTTAATTATGTCACACCTTTAATTAAACACAATGATAATTTATACTAAGATGAGTAATAATTAATCACCGCATAAAAGAGCTGTCATGGTCGGCACTGCACCCAATCGCCTTTATTTCCTTAACTGCAAAGTCAGGTACTCATTCACACCTGGCTGGACTGGGGTGGGGTGGGGTGGGGTGGGGTGGGGTGGGGTGGGTTAGGGTGGGTTAGGGTGAGTTAGGGTGGGGTGGGGTGGGGATTAACTTAATCTCTCTAGATAGTTTTTCATCTCACTAAATATGATAAATACTGGTTTTTACTCTAGCATTTACTACATAATTTATCAAACCATTAACCTTTGCAATGGAGTATTTTCTTGCAACATAGATTGAAGTATTTATTGTTAAGGTATTTGATATAAACGTGTATCTAGGTAAATACCCAAGACAGTTATTGTAGAAATATTTGATGATAAATACTCAAATATTTAACAAGATATTTATTGCAGTTTAAAAAGGAGCATTTAATTTATCACAGCCTAACAGAGCATTTATTAAAGTACATAACAGAGCATTTATTAAAGTACATAACAGAGCATTTATCACAACATAACACAGGATTTATCACAACATAACGCAGCATTTATCACAACATAACACAGGATTTATCACAACATAACACAGCATTTATCACAGCATAACACAACATTTATCACAACATAACACAGCATTTATCACAGCATAACACAGGATTTATCACAACATAACGCAGCATTTATCACAGCAAAACACAGCATTTGTCACAACATAACACAGCATTTATCACAGCATAACACAGCATTTATCACAACATAACACAGCATTTATCACAGCATAACACAGCATTTATCACAGCATAACGCAGCATTTATCACAACATAACACAGCATTTATCACAGCATAACACAGCATTTATCACAACATAACACAGCATTTATCACATCATAACACAGCATTTATCACAGCATAACGCAGCATTTATCACAACATAACACAGCATTTATCACAGCATAACACAGCATTTATCACAACATAACACAGCATTTATCACATCATAACACAGCATTTATCACATCATAACACAGCATTTATCACATAACACAGCATTTATCTCAACATAACACAGCATTTATCACATCATAACAGCATTTATCACATAACAGCATTTATCTCCAACATAACACAGCATTTATCACAACATAACACAGCATTTATCACATCATAAAACAGCATTTATCACAACATAACACAGCATTTATCTCAACATAACACAGCATTTATCACAACATAACACAGCATTTATCACAACATAACACAGCATTTATCGCAACATAACACAGCATTTATCACAACATAACACAGCATTTATCGCAACATAACACAGCATTTATCACAACATAACACAGCATTTATCTCAACATAACACAGCATTTATCTCAACATAACACAGCATTTATCACAACATAACACAGCATTTATCACAACATAACACAGCATTTATCGCAACATAACACAGCATTTATCACAACATAACACAGCATTTATCACAACATAACACAGCATTTATCACAATATAACACAGGATTTATCACATCAAATAGTTCAGCATTTTGACACTTTTCACAGTTTACGGTGAGGCATTTATCCCATACATTACGGTGAGGCATTTATCGCCAGCATATGTTGTTGAATTTATTAAGGCATTTATTGAACCATTAATTGTAAAGCGTATTGCAACATGTCACTAAACGACTCCGCCTGGAATATTGGAATGTTGGAATCGGGGGGTTCCTGGAATGTTGGAACACTATGATACTGGGAAACTGGAATCGGGGGTTCCTGGAATGGTGGAATACTAGAATACTGGAATACTGGGAAACTGGAATGCTGGAATCGGGGGTTCCTGGAATGTTGGAATACTGGGAAACTGGAAGGCTGAAATCGAGGGTTCCTGGAATGTTGGAATACTAGAATACTGGAATGTTGGAATACTAGAATAATTGAATACTCTGAAACTGAAATACTGAAGTGCTGGAATAATGAGAAACTGGAATACTGGAATGCTGGAATGATGACCCAAAAGGCCTTTGGTAATTAGTGGGTCAGGTGATCTCATACTTGACACATAATTACTGTCCAGGTGTCGAGGCAATGAACATGGTGAAACTTACAGACAGACAGACAAACAGACAAAAAAAGACAGACATACAAAGAGAGACAGAGAAAAAAATAAACAGGAGAATAGAAGGGAGACACAGACTGACAGAGAAAGAGAGAATTAGAGAATAAAAACAACAAACTTCATCCAGAACCAAACATTTTCACTCACGTAATTAAATTTAATTTTTTCTTTTTCTTCATTACGGTCGAGAGAATTTGTAAGTATTTTTTTTTTTTGGGGTGGGAGGTTCATTGTTCTTCATCGTCTGCACGTTGGCTCTCTCTCTCTCTCTCTCTCAAAACCTTCCCTCTGTGTGTGTGTGTGTGTGTGTGTGTGTGTGTGTGTGTGTGTGTGTGTGTGTGTGTGACGTGAGGAAGGGAGATAGATATATATACGATGTGTATACCAACCTATGCATTAATACACTAGCCTATGTGTACACAGAATCAGTTGACACACAGAGGCATTGTATGACAGTCAACTGGTTGTATGATCGGAGCCAGCGTATATGTGTGTGTGTGTATGATGGGGGAGGGAGAGGGTGGGTGGTGGGGGAGAGGGTGGGGGGTGAGGAGAGGGTGGGTGGTGGGGAGAGGGTGGGTGGTGAGGGTCATGTTTGATTTCCATTAGTGAGGGGAAAGAGGCGTGGCACCAGCACTGCCGATGGTGCCTGTGTCAGTCAGGGAGGGGAAGGGGGGGGGAGGTGGAGGGGGATGGATGGGTGAAGATGGTAGGGACGGAGGGGAAGGTGAGAGAAAGGGGGTTGGAGAAGGAGGAGGGGGGGAGGAAGGAGGAATGTTGATAACTGTAATGGAGGAATGGAGGTGTGTGTGTGTGTGGTGTGTGTGTGTGCTAATTGTACAAATGTGGTGATGTACTATCTGCACTAAAACACACACCACACAACACATACAGGTAGCACATGTCCTCCCATTAGGTTAGGTTAGGTTAGGTTAGGTTAGGTTAGATATACGTTAAATTTAGGCATCTCAGACAGACTCAACTATCAGGAGAAAACACACTATTAACCACTGCAGCATTGAGAGGCATTACCCCCCTCCAGTGCCACTCTAATTGGCACTCAGGGATTGCGTCAGGTAAATGTGGAACAGCTGTGTGGTGTTGCAACTCATCTCTCGAAAAACTAGATTATTTTTGGTGCGAGTAAAAGCGAGTTTATTCTTACAAGCCAAATGGCGGTTTAAAGTGTAATGTGAAAGTTTCTATCTGTCTGTCTGTCTGTCTGTCTCTGTCTCTGTCTCATTACCTACTGAGACAAGACAGTCTCTCACCAGCCCTACACAATAGATACACGTGTATGCTATACAATTATTTCTCCTCCCTCCCTCCCTATCTCTCCTCCTCCTCTCCTCTCCTATCTCCCTCCCTCCCTCCCTCCCTCCTCCCTCCCTCCCTCCTCCCTCCTCCTCCCTCTCCCTCCCTCCCTCCCTCCTCCCTCTCCCCTATCTCCCTCTATCTCCTCCCTCCTCCCTCCCTCCTCCCTCCGTCCCTCCCTATCTCCCTCCCTCCCTCCTCCCTCCCTCCCTCCCTCCCTCCCTCCCTCCCTATCTCCCTCCCTCCTCCCTCCCTCCCTCCTCCCTCCCTCCCTCCCTCCGTCCCTCCCTATCTCCCTCCCTCCCTATCTCCTCCCTCCTCCTCTCCCTATCTCCCTCCTCCCTCCTTCCCTCCCTCCCTCCCTTACCAATTGTCACATCCTCTCCCCCCACCCTCCCCCTCCCTCCTACATCTCCTGTCCCTACCCCTCTCTCTCCCTCCCACTCATTTTCCTCCTCCTCGTACCCTCCTCCCTTTCCTCCCCTCACCCTCTCCTTCTGTCACCCTCTCCTCCCGCCTACCATCCCTCTTTCTCCTCCCATCTCACCCTCTCCTCGCTCACTCACCCCTCTCCTCCCCGTCCCTCACCCTCTCCTCCCTCCCACTCACCCCTCTCTCTCACTCCCTCCCCCCGCCCACTCACCCCTCTCCTCCGCCCACTAACCCCTCTTCCTCCGCCCACTCACCCTCTCCTCCTGCCCACTTCCTTCTTCCCCCCACCCCTCGCCCCTCTCCCCATTATTTGAACACGAGGCTCTTCTCCACATGTAGAATGTCAAGTTATACTGAGTGTTCCAAGGCGTCTCACGTGTACCTTAATATTGTATAAACAGAAGCGAGTCCCAGAAGAGGGTAGAGAGAGGTAGAGAAGTGGGGGGTGGGGAGGAGAGGGGGTGGAGAGGTGGAGGGGGGTGTGGAGAGGAGAGGGTGGAGAAGGGGTGGAGTGAGGAGAGGGTGGAGAGAAGGGGGATGAGGTAACGTGTGTAGGGGATACAGGAGGGGTAGGGTAGGGCAGGGGGCGTGGGGTGTGTAGGCATAGAGGGGTGAGAGGCTGTGTAGGGGAAGAGGAGAGAAGGGGTGGTGAGGTGAGGTGAGGTGTGGTGGAGGCGAGGTGAGGTGTGGTGAGGTGAGGGAGGTGAGGATGGATGTGTAGAGGTATGGGGGCGATGGAGGGAAGGTTAGGTGGAGGGAAGGTGTTGGA